AGCTTTCGTCGCCCTAAGAAGGGTGAATGTGCGGTTGAGTATTGTAGTACCGCAGCGACACCCGCAGAACATTGAAGACACTTGGAACCAAAAATTGATAGTTTTCGCCAAGGTTGTCGTGTATATATTTATATTTGGTTGTCGTTTTTTTAATTAACATGTGGTGTGGAATTATTGTTGTCACCCTAAAAGCCTACTTCCTGTTAATACAACAAGTATCTTAGTCCGCATATTTTGACAAAAATGTCAATCATTCGTACTCATTACGTGATATTACGCTAGCCAAGTACATAAACACGTAACGATCCTCCCTACTGTGCAACTATTTTCGAAAACTTTCTCTGGACGAACTCTATTTAAATTATCTCTATAACTGTAGCTCTTTATCTAAATACAAATAAAAGAACCAGCCCGCGCAACATCAACCAATCGCAAGCAAGCGGGCGAAATCCCCACTGCCGCGCCTCCTTTTCGCCGACTGTAAAAGGTGTGGCCGAGTGGGGATCAGAAGAAAGGGCCCACAGCACGTCGCCTTCACCTTCCGCGCACTGCCCACGCTCACGCTCTCTGAGCTCTGTGACGCGGAAGCGTAGCAAGTGCATGGGAGGGGATCGCCGCCCACGGATGCCGGAAACCGCGCGGGCTGCGCGGAAACGCGCTCTGCCAGGCTAGCGTCACCTGATCATAAAGACGTCACGGCGCCATGGATGCTTGACGAAAGTCGGCGTCGTGGCGTGCATAAAAGTGTATATAAGTGTATATATAGTGAAGTGAAGTGCTGCGTGTTGTATGAATGACTGAATGAATGCGTTTGTAAATTATAATAGTGTGAATGCGAGAGAGAGAAAAACAAAACAAAAGAAAAAAATAGAACAATTCCAAGAACTTCAAATTAAATAATTATAAGTCTAAAAACTAACAAACCCCAAAGCGGGAATGTAAATAGTTATAAGATATTTTGTTAGTCAGTAAGTAAAAAGCTCTCCCTAACTGCATAAGCCAAATCGGCTGCAGTTGTAACTAAATGTAGTCGCGAAAGTGAAATAAATTCCCGCTTCTCCAGGGTAACTGGAGGGGAAAAAATAGAAAAAAATAAAAAAAATTAAAAAAAGGATCACACCAGTCGCCAGCCAGCCGCCGCCCCGAACTCTGCGCCCGCGACCATGCCGCCACTGAGGATGTCCACCGCAGACGTGGACGAAACGTTTGTCCCTGCAATGCCAACTGCACCGCAGCCTACCAGCCTAGAAAAGTTCACTTATATTAACTTCGGCCGTGAAAGCCTACGGTGTCATTTATCGTAGTTTGCAAAAAGTAAATTTAGTTAATGCTAAAAGTCTGCCACTACAAAATCGTTACTCAACAAAACCAGACGAAATGATTTTCCATAAAGAAGTATGTGTTCTGGTGACGAACCATAAACTCTTATAACACGGTCATAATATTTATTTATGCACTAAGAGCGTTGTAAAGGGTGATTGAGTATAAAAAGCTCGAAGGAATTTCGACGTCCACGAGTATTAGAATCGATTAACGCCTGTGGGACATATATTATTTTTAACTAATTTTATTGATTAATGTTAACTTATTTACTAATTTACTAGATGTTAACTTGACTCAGTTTGTCTTTTCATATTTATGTCTCAAAATTCCCTCCATAGGAGAACATCATTCAACTGTTTTAATAGTTCCCTCGTAACTACAATAGTTTTGCTCCAGGAAAGATATACAGTGTATATCGAACTCAAGTATATCGCAAGTACAAGCTATATCGTATCAGAAAAAATATATTTTAACGTAAAGAGTCTAAGTATACTGCAATAACATAGCATAGTATTTACAGAGTACATGATAGAGTACCTGAGTTCTTACAAAAAATGTTGCTGTTCAATTAGGCAATTTGTTAGGAATAAATATTTCACGGCGGGCGATCTCATGCAGCCTTGTTATTTCATAACGTTAGCTGTGACGCGCTGAATATGAGAAATCAGTCGGTAAGCGCAGTATAGGCGAGATGATACAAATAAATATTTGCATTTTTTGGAAAAATATAAACTGATTCATTGTTTCAGACTTTTCCCCTTCGATTTTGGAAATAGAGGATTTAGATTTAGAGTTACTGGGAATATAACAAAACCACAGACATCTCTCAGATGGCTGGAGGTAGTTTAGTTTTCTTTAATTTTTTGTGCGCATTGCCTTTTCAAAATTAAACGCGTCAAATAATGACATTGTTAGAAATTAAACTTTGTACGATCCGGATCCCACGGCCACGTTCAAGCGCCCGAGAGATATGCTGCAGTAGACGAAACGCCAATAAAAATTGCGGGAAACAACGCCAAAAGCGCGCCGAACAGCTATTGCCTTCCCTGACCTTGTTTATTTTCTATGCTACAGATCCCACGGATGTGCGAAATGATAGGGATGGCTACACAGCAGGAAAGTGTGGTATTGCACCTCGCGGCCACCTGGAACTGCGATGCGAAGCAAGGAGCTGCGCGCATTGGACATTAGTAATATAGATACTTGGTGTAGGGCTTTGAAACATCGGTTAGTTTGTAGCAGCACTTATCGCAAGTGTACTATGAGTGCAACTTTCTCACAATAGCTTGCAAATAGCTTGCAGCTTCTGTAATGTTCAACAAAGTTACTAATGATTTCACTCATCAGGTGGTTTCTGGAAGAGTCAAAATTTCGAGAAATCAGTTACAACACGGAGAGTAAAGCAGTAGATAGAACTATACCGTACAGAATATTTTGGAAGAACAAAGTGCGTTGTAACATTCAAGAAAGAGCGAAAGGTTTAGTTAACCACACAAATGCACAATTAGTAATGTTAAAATTACTAAATGAAAATAAAATAAATCATAAATCACTAAACGCTTCTGAGTATACCCTATTAAGCAGAACTCTGAAAAGGAATATTTTCTCTCTATCCCTTTAGCCAGACTGGTTAGAAACTAGGGGATCACTAACGGTCCCATACAAGAGTCCCGTGGACTCATACGTATTTAACCTCGATAACCAGACAGCTTCTACCCTGGCAGTATGGTTATGGACGCTGGCTGCAGAGTTATTGATAACGACATTTCTACCGTCAGTTTAGAATAGAAAATTATTATTTAAAATCAATAAAATACTGAACACGTTTACACAGCGCATAATTCTATACACAACGTTCATTTCCCACAGTATCTATAACAAAATCGGTCGAAGTTCTGAAAACGCACGCTTACTAAGCAGGGTTTACTTACAGGAAACATAGATCTCAATGAATCATTTATCTACTAAACACCTTTAGTACCACTAACAATTATCTTTGTTCATTCACTTACAATTATCAATTATCATTTTACTAACCGGAACTAAATAAGGTTTAGTGAATCTTACCATACAAATAATTGTATTTACCCACTTGAGGTAGGCAAAGTCAAACATTGTGCCATTATAATCAGTTTCGTAATGAAGTACTTTACTGCCCTAATGTGGTAATATTCTTCATTACCACACTAGGGCGGCAAAGTAATGACCTACTTTGCCACTCTTCTTTTGAAAATATTTTGGACTTCTTTCTGTTGTATCTTACACTTTTGCTCATTGAAAATGATAATAATTAAGTAAACTCACTCACACCAATTTTTTATTGACTGTCTGGTATATACCCGTAGAACTGCGGTGTCACTGTCCTGAGAAAACTTGCGATATGCTAGGGGAAACGTTAGCACCTCAGCCAACGACGTGGCGACACCCGGACAGCAAAAAAGACATTGACTCAAGCCGCGGAAGCTTACGTTTATATTTTATGCCAATGTTGCCAAAGGAAATTATACTCTTTAACAAGAGCGGTAGGACTCCTTGATTTCTCCGACGTGCCAGAAAAGTAATCAATCAAACCTTTTTCCGATATGGAATAAACGTTTTATTTCCATATCTATCTTTAAAAATTAAATAATATCACTGATATTTCTTTCTTGATTTGTTTGGTAACAAAAAGAAACAGTTGCTGCTATTTATATTGCCAAATCAGAATTATAGTCACTCATGTCGATATGTATACACCGAGTGTGTTTCAATTGTTCTCATTATTGAAAACAGTGTCGCAACTTATGGGAGAAAAATGTAACTGAAGGCATAGAAAAAAATTTCATACATTAAATTTAATAAATTTTTAAAAAAGTGGATACAATATTGTACGATATATTGTGTCGTAACATCTGATACGAAAACTCAACTTGATTACCAAACTAACGGCCTAACGGCCTCGTTTGCCAATTTTCCAATTTCACACTGTCATCAAATGCTTTACAACACATACCGTAAATAATTATTACTTTATGATCGCTTACTAAACATGTGAAGTATATTTTACAATAAGATTTCTCTTAGTAAAAGAAAAGTGACATTTTATATTCGCATATAATACAATTCAAAGGTCTGGCAAGCTGCCAGCTTACTGGTCGGCGTGCTCAATATCCATGACGCGACCTCGGGTTCGATTCCCGGTCAGGCAAGATTATAGTGTGACTTCGCCTTGCAAAGTCTCGGTACATGTTTCTGTGTAATGAGCAAATTCACCCATCAGGTTGAGAAGACCAGAATACTGCATATGGATGACTTCGTGCCAACCACACATACCACATTAGCCGTGAGGCGGGGACGCCGCTATCGCACGGACCGCTGCGCCAAGTACGAACAAAAAATCTTCCGTGAAGAGTAGTTTAGAGATAACTTTTACTTTCTTCACTTAAATAGGAAACAGTACCATCCAATAACCTGAAAATAAATATTTTTGCTCGCAGAAGGACTTAAGATATAAAAGCGTATCTAGTTACATTACAAAATTTAGGAAGTCAAAAAGTAAATGTCGAATAAAATATTTCTCCGAAGACAACATTAAAAAAAAAGTAAACAAACATTTTGTAACTCCTAACCATTTGGTTCATTTGGCTGCAAATCGCGCTAGAAACAGAGGTTTGAGGTAAATAAAAAACACAATTATAGTTTGATTAATAATTTATTAGTTAAAGCGCAAACGCATAGCGTAGAATATAGTTTTTTGAGGCCTTTCGACACGATCGACAGCGCACGCCATGGAAAAGCACCAATGACATGACTTCATTCCCTGCCTCTTGGTTTCTGCAAGTGAACAAAGAAATAGAGTTAAATTTCACAAGGAGTTTATCAGTCAAAATTTGCTTAAATTTGCTTATAATTGTCTTAAGAGCTTATTTTAGAATTTGTGTTGATATTTGCTTTGAAATAATTGGTTTTTGTACCTAATGTTCCATGATCTAGGGAGTAGCGACGGATTTCCATGCAAATGCGTTTTTATTTAAGTTTCGTAGAGTTTCCAAACTTTGTTATTATATCTTTCATGGACAGCTCATTCTAAAAACGCATACTTTTTCAGCATATTGGCGTGTTTTTTTCTTTCTCAGAAATTTATGCGTAGTGCTAATTTTGGAATTATAAATTAACAATTTAATCTGTGTGTGACGTATTGTGAGGGGAAGTGTTTTTACGTGCGTTCATTAAATATTTCAATCATTTTCAAGTACCACGATAAAGAATTATGTTTATATAAATTCATTTTATTTACTACTTAATATTTTTCTTATTTATGTCTTGTAACATTTCCTGACATTTTAATACCTGTTTTTTGTAATTACTAAATTTATATTTTAGAATATGAACAATCGTAAATATATATATATTTTTTCAGTATAACCTATTATTCTAGATGGTAGAAATATTAGAATTTTCATTAAGAACTGATATAAAAAACTATATTAATCTTTCTTGTCTGTTTAGTCTTACTGGTGATTTAATAGTTTTATTTATATAATTTCGATGGTTCTGACAGGCCACTTCTGGTCATGAATTTGGGTGTGTTTTGTTGATTAAATAATATTTATTTTTGGAATATTTCAGGATTAAATATACATAATACACATATAAATCTGTATATAAATTAAATTTTTGCAATGAATAGAAAGAAAGAAAAATATATTTTTTATAATGAAAATAAACGTTGCAAATAGTAAGTGTAGTTCTCTTGCTTAATTCTTATTCTCTTATGCAGCAGAGAATGCTTTCCTTGGAATTTTTTGAAATTAATTTAATTATTCACTCCATTGAATACCTACCTTGGTTCATTTAAATGCGGAGCTGGAAGAAACAGTGCTACTTCCCCGGTTTCGGTTTTATCCAGAGTCCTCCCACTATCTCGTCTGCCAGTCGGTAGAGGTCTGCTACAGTCTGCGCAAAATCATAATTCCTCCTTTTGATCCTTAACTTATCGAGTTTGGAAATTACACTGTGGATTGAGAAAAACAAAAGAAAATAACTTTCATCAAGAACTCAGTAGAAAACGCTTATAAATACGATCCATGGTGCTCAATATGAGTATGATAGTAAGTCCTTAACTCATGAAATGCATTATTGAAGACATCGGTTGTCAAAGGTCAGCATGAGATTATACACGTATTGAAACTAGAAAGCAAATGATAACGGTGAGATCATATTAAAATATAAATTATTAAGCATTGTTACTATTGATAAACAATCACATTGTAAGTGAATCACAAGTGATAAAACTAAAACTGAAGACCAACATCTCTAATCATGAACATTAGTCACGTACCAACGGCGTTTAACGGCAGACCCCAAAGTAATTTTTACCTCTGTCTTCGATAGGTAAGGAGTAACTGTTTTATCTTCTATGTAATTTATTACTAGAACCTTTCTCAACTCTTAGTTATAGTTTTGTCTTTCAACGCTTTCAGATGTGTACAAAAAATTGAAACTTAGGACGCGTAATCAAGACGCGTAATCGCTTAGTGAAAACCTCTTGATTACGAAGTACTTACCCACATGACTACCTTACCTATTTGACTACCCACTTGACTACCAACTCATTTGACTACTTACGTCCTTAACCACTATACACTTAACCCACGTGAACTTTTAACGATCTGACCATTTACACACTTTACTTTCTCCCTTCACTACGATGCGTTCGACCATTTACCTATTTGGCCACTTACCCACTTAACCACTTACCAACTTACTACTTACCCACTTACTACTTAATCACTTACTCACTTGCCACTTTTGTATTCGATCGCTTATCCCTTTCACCTCTAAACCACTTGTACACAAACCCACTTACCACTAACCTACTTGACCACTAACCCACGTAGCCACTAACCCACGTGACGTCTTACCCATTGGACCCCTCATCCATGGACTATTTTCCCACCTGTTCATGTATTCCCCTACCTGCGTTACCTGTTATTCCCTCACCCACGCATGCGTGCATTCATTTGTCTGCCTACTTGCGCCCATCCCCCCTCCCGACCGCTGGCGCGCGGGCGGGCGGGCGCGTGGGCACGTGGGGCGGGTACCTCCTTATTTACTAGGCTGTCCGGGTGACGCCGCGTCCATGGTGAAGGTGCGGACGTTTCGGTCGCCATTTTGCGACCTTCCTCAGGGCGTAATGGACGCGGCGTCACCCAGACAGCCTAGTAAATAGTGACTATGGCTGCGGACGCCTACGCTCTCACAGGTACCTCCTGCTTGCGCAGCTCCTCGATGAGCGGCGCCTCGTAGCGCAGGCGGCGCAGCTCCGCCTCGCTCAGCAGGTAGTTCTTGTCTCGCTCGCGCGCCATCTGCTCCGCCAGCTCCACCTCGGCCTGCCACTCGTTGCGCGCCGCCGTCATCACCGACGTGCGCGCCAGGTTGGCGCGCTCGCGCTCCACCTCGTCCGGCGACAGCGGCCGCCCCTGCGCCACAGCCCCCTCCTCGTCATCGGCTCATCGCCATTGGAGGGGGATCATACACACATTCTAAGATTGGTTTCTTTGGTTAGTCATTCCGGGCGCGTCAACTACTAAGGTCATTTCTAGCGCAAGTGTAGTGGATGTCTTTCCTTTGGGATGTAGTGGTGGATTTCCCCGCTCGATGGCGAGATCCGTGGCCGACCTACCGTCGTCCCAAACAGTCGAGGCACCGTCCTGGCCGGGACAACGTCCATGGTATCGATCGATCTCCCGACATGTGTGGTAGTGCAGGGCGTGCTAGTGCAGGTGTGTGAGGTGAGGATAGAGGAAACAAGGAGTAAGGATAGAGCTTGTAGCTTGTCCCAGCTGGGGCGGTGCTCCGCTGGTGGGAGATACCTGGTTGGTAGGTTTAGCCGACGGTAGGTCGGCGCTGGATATCACCAGGTAGCGCACCGAATGATCACCGCCACCTCCCGAGGAAAAAACATGCACTACTACTACAGAATTAAAGACCTTTGCAGTTGGCGCCCGGAATCATTAACTATCAGTCAATCAGCTAAGGAATTCAAGGGATATAGGATAATTACTTTGTCAATGAGCATGTGCTGATAAATCTTATATAATATAGTTTCAATTCTCGTAACAATTCTGACATACATTTGTTGATAGGATGCCATTTTCTTCTGTTCTCTATTTTGGCGGTCATGCAAACTCTCAAGTGATAACATCACTGACAATGTCAATATTTAATTTTTTTGTCTTGATTGTTCAGTTCTGAATGTAAAATACTTTGAAGACACAGTCATGACATTTCTCCAATGTGTGGTAGTGGTAATGCACTTTCTGACACCCTCTCTTAAAATTTGCCGCTGTGATATGCATGGAGTAGACTGTGGCTAAAATTACGTCCTCCCGTTTTCGTCTGTTGTCACTAGCGATTAAATGCACGAGACTTCATATGACCTCTCAAAAAATCTAAGCGTTTCAAAGCTATGATCTTTGGAGACCCTGCCACGGGGCCGCCCCCTGATGATTACACAACTGCCGTCAGTCTCACACACGTCCTCCCACTCGGAGGGTGAGAAGTGTGACACTGCCCGGTCGCTTTGTAGCCACACGCAACGCCCCACTGCGAGCGTCCCATCCTTCAGAAAAGTCGGCAGCGGCCACGTAGAAACGCGAGGCGAAGGGGGAAGGCGTTTAGTGGGGCGGAAGTATCTGATTGCTAGTGATTGCTACCCACACGTTAACACTGAACCTGACATTTGGTTCAGCTCAAACTCATTTCAATTTTTTCAGCAAACAGTATGCACATGCAAAATTTAATGTATGTACATTTAGGTCTTTGATCATGCATTTTATTTACTGGAGAAATGGTTGTGAAAGTGAGAAAGTGTCAATTAGAATTCATGTAATTCAATGTATTTTAATTAGTAGCTACAATGTTTTTTTTCAAAATTCAGAATATTAATATAAAATTATTCTTATTTTATACACAGAAGTACAATATAAGTAGATATTCACACAATACATTTATGGAACTTTTAATTAGAGTTTTTAATAGCCACTTTAATAGCTAAGGAGAGTTTTTTAATAACAGAGAGTGTAAGAGAGAATAAACTTATATAACATAAAAAGAAAGCTACATATTTTCTGGGAAATAGTGTACAGTAGCTGAACGACCGAAGTTGATAAAGTGAATATCTGAATGGTCTTTATAAAATACAATTTATGTTAAATTCCGAAAAGATGGGTATACGCGGATGTATTTTATTAATTTCAGAAAGTGAACTTAACCATTAAAGTGCTTTCTTATAAAAGTGAAATGATAATTATGCGGTGGATAGATTCAAGGTTGTTTGTAGTGAACGTGAGGGCCGAAGCCCGAGCCTTGCCGTGACTTGGATGCAAGCAAGCGAAGCAAGAAAACGTGCTTTTGAAAGTAGTTCAAAGTAGTGGCATTACAATGTGAAAGTCGTATTTTGTGATTACAATGTGTCGGAAACAAAGTGTATGCAAAGACATTGCACTGCGGGAGAATGAACCGAAAGCGAAGAGAGCGATTCCTTTCCGGCGTGACTCGTTCTTTTACATGAACAATAACTAGTGTAAGAGTTAACCGCGAGGCAGCGAGGACGATCGAAAATAGAAGTCCCGCTGTAGCGAGAAGGTGAAAGGGCATACTCACGTCCTCCGAGTAGGTGGGCACGCCGCCCTTGGTGACGAGTCGCTTTCGGCGGTGCTCCTTCTGCAGCTGCGAGTGGCGGTGGACGGCGATGCGTTTCGCGCCCGCGACGTCGCCTGCGATTCCCATCCCGCGGTAATCGCCCATCTGGTCATCGTCATCGTCATCGTCATCATCATCGTAATCGTCGGCGACCGGTTCAGGCTCTTCCTTGCCTGCGTCGCCCTCCTCCTCTCCCTCGCCGTCTTCCCGCTCCCCCTTCCCTTCCTGCCCCTCTTCACCTCCATCCATATGCGTTTCGACTTTCTTCTCTATTTTTTTCTTCATGTCTGATCTGTCTTCTTGCCTATCGAATCCTGTCTTGAGAACTCCCTTCAACGCTCTTCTCTCCCCCTCCTTCTCTACCCTCTCTTCTATTTCTTTCTTCAACGATTCCTTCAGCTCTCTTTTTTCTTCTTCTGGAGATAGCTTCTCCACCTCCACCTCTCTCTCCACCTCAACTGCTTCTGCCTCTTCTTCTTCTACTTCTTCTTCTTCTTCTTCGCTCTCTAGCAGCTCTTCTGCGAGCACATAGTATGACAGTCGTTATTAAAAATTGAATTATTACATGTTAAATATCATTATCAATTACATGTAAAATTTGAATTTATTTTTGGGAGTAATCTCTAAAATGAGCTTTTCAATGTAATATATTTAAAACGTTCCAAAATATTGAAGTAACGCTGAAGTTCAAGCGTAACAGGTGACGATTAAGATGTGTCTTCATTTAATCCGATACTGTGTTATTAAATTCCACGATAAAATATTCATATGATTCCATAAGACAATATACATAAGATAACTTATATACTTCAATGGTCTTCTTTATTCTAGAATATGAAATTTTGTGCAACGGAATTGGAGTTTTGGTGAACATGACATCAGTGACTACGTTAATTTTGGAAAAAAGACCAGTACGAGTGCAATAAGTAACGTTTTTGCGGTGGAAACTTTTTTTATTTTATAGAGTCTAGTGAGCAGCCATGTACCATTGGAAGAGTCAGGGGATGCGAACAATATGACGAACGTGTTTATTGTATACATTTCCGTTCAATAAATCGTTTTCTACGTCAGATCCTTTTCTCCGATGTCACTCTCCAGTTAAATTCATTTTATTATAAAAAAATGTAATAGGAATCAAAAGAAAATACGCACATTCTTTCTACCTTATTACATTGTGAACTCGCGGTCAGCTTATCAATTTTGAAAGCAAAGTCGCTCAAGAATGTGGATACTTGTTTTCAACTAGCTCGCTTGCATTACGTGTAAGGCGAGCGCTTGATTTTGACATGTCAATGCGTTACCGCTCTCTTCCGGAGTCTTCGGCATGGCCTGAGCGCGCTCTTTGTCTTCCTCGTCCTCCTCCTCGTCGGGGGCCATGGCTTTGGCGAGAGCCTGCAACGTGCCTTCCGGGATGTAGGATAAGCGCATCGTCGGATGTTGCACCTGTGGCAGACGCAGAGTTTCCAAATAGAACGTTGCAGGAATGTGATAAAACAATGAACCATTATTCGGAGAATAGACCAGTTAATGTATTTAATGCGCATTTTCTCTGGGTCAATAATCTTTGAAATGTTTTTGACGTTTCTAATACGTGTCACGTTTTGATGACCATCGTGTATAATAATATCGAACATACTTTTATAATAATATAGAAATGAATACAAATTTGCTTAGGAAGATGTCAATAGTGTATTACTGTCGATTATCGCATAACTAATATTTATCGATGCGCAGATGTGACTTCCTTGGCAAACGAATATTGAGATATATTTGAAAAATTGATTGTTGATTGAAAAATTGAGTGATTTTTCATTTACTGAAAATGGAATTCAAGATGTGCATGTGAAAGAAAAAACTAAACGTGTATATTACAAAAGACCTTGATGTGCAACATAATACAATAATACGCATTACTGAATGATGTATGATATGATGTTTATTGTATATGTATGATAATGATGTGTATTGAACGAATTATTGAATGTTTTAGGAATAGCCATGCGTGACTGTGCAGTAAATAGAAAATTGAATAAAAATATTTAATATTAAAAAGCCTCTCACTATTTCAGACGTGTTCAATATTTGAAACATCTGTAATTCAATATATCCAAAATTAGTATTTATGTAAGTTTGGTTAAGTTTGGTTGCATGCACAATACTGTATGATATAATACATGCTTGAAGCTATTTAATTGTTAACCCCATATGAGGCTGAAATGAATGAATAAATCACTAATACATACAAAATTTATGTTCAATCTAGTTCAGAACAGAAAAAATACTAAGGAGCAAACCCAGATACATTTTCCCACTAGTAAAATATTTGGCCTTTATAAATGTAACAAGTACCTATGGACAGACCTGGTTGTGAGAAAATGCCGGAGTATCTACGAAATTATTACCCATAGCCAGAACTTGGATTTTTTCTAAACTTGCAACAAGCGTTGAAAGACGAAACTATCAGACGAAACTATCACAACCTGAAGGAGGAACTCCTCACCAAATACTGTAGACAACAAACGGGTCAACAAAATAGTGTAGGGTTCACAGTTTACCCCCTCCTTCCCCAATTGGTATGCGTTGTATTGTAAATTGTTTTCTTTGTAGGTGAGGAATGGGGCGGTGTGGGTGAGGTGATACCTTGGAGCGCCGGTTCTCGATGGCTTCGCTGGTGATACGGGAGATCTTGAAGACGGGGTGCTCAGCCAGCTCCCGGGGCACCTGCTCCACCGGGATCTTGCCCTCCAAGATGAGCTTCTTCTCCCGCTCTACCTCCGCCTCCTGCACAGACACGTCGTAATGAATGCGTCAGAGAGAGAGAGAGAGAGAGAGAGAGAATTAAATTGAATTAATGCCTTATCTTACGTGGCGAGACTCGGGCCATCAGGCCCGCTTTCCGTCTGACCACGCAAATTTCGCTACGCTCCTTTCACCAACTAGCAGAAGGAAGTCCTTCTTGGGCGAGAAACAGGCGATTTTGAATTTAGCTCAGAGGCGACATTTAGGCTTGAGGATATTTCACACACAAGTAAATCTACTAACATGGGACAGCCGGTTTTACTTCCCCTCCAAAAAAAGGGATACGAAGGAAAGCGTACGAAGGATTTTTTCGCCCTTAAAAATCCACGGCTTGGGTATACGAGCTAACGCTAACCGCTGCCGCTATGGAGGCGAGAGGCGCCGGTGAGGGCAGTGTAGCGAAGTGGGTGCGCCCTGGCCCAGGGGTTATTTGCGGGACTCTATTGTGACTCATTGCTTGTGGAGTCAGCGCAACGACAGAGGGAAGGAGACGCGTGGCTGTCATTACTTGATTAGGGGAAACGGAGAAACAGAGACTAAAACTGTGTAGTGGGATTTAAAATTATCTTTATTGATAACAGTTAGCATTTGTTAACGAATAAAGCATTAAAACCGCCCGAGATATTCACAAAAAAGGGGAAAGTCACTGAAATAATAACAAGTTATAATCGCAACCAAAGCCTACAGAGATAGGGAAAGCGAACGTACTGTGAGTAACTTCGGGCGCGATCGGCTCTAGCCCAAACAAGGCGCGTGGGTGCAGTAAGACATATTGAGTAGTCTAGCCCCAATTCTTACATGTGAACAAAGTTGGGATTGGTAATGATCATGATGATGATACACGTGCACAGACTATAATAAGAGGACCCTACTGCATTTCAGGGCCTCTTTTTCCACCAAAATGTATGATTGACGAATGACACTTTACTACTGTGACGTCGTCCTGATATGTGTTACAGGCACGGACATTTTAGGTTCAGATTTATTTACAGCCATTCGCTATTCAGTACTTATACTCGTGTAGAAACTTTTTCCGACGCACTCCGCAGCACTCAAACCTCTGAGTCAAGCCACCCCAGAGCTAAAACCGTGCCAATACTAACGCCGCCCCTGCTCTCTTGACCCGTGGCGGAAGCCAGACCTCACAATCCGTGCCTTGCGATTATCCCTCGCTGGTGACAATGTGCATCTGCACGGAGAGTCGTCTCAAACTCAAATGCCCCCGGCAGTGTCCTCCGATAGCCTGTATATCGCGGGAATCACGTGCTAGTGTCTCCCACGCTGTTGGCTCGCGGACCGCCTCATCTCATTACGGAGTTTTGGGGACGGGTGCAAAACAGGGCCCGCCGGCCAGCTGCATTCCGAGGCTGCCGTCGCTCATCACCCCCACCCCCCTGCGCTGACATCAAGAACACCGTGTTCCCCAGCCAGCTCCTGTCGACAGGCCCCGGCTGCCGTTAGCCTGGCGCCAGGGTACCAACCCCTCCCCTTCGCCGGCCACACGCCTTGTGTGGTGCGTCATAGCCTGACGTTACACTAGTAAATAAAAAAATTGATACTAGAAGAAGGAAGGAAGAAAAATACATTATAACTTTTGTGATATGATGAAGAAATACACTTGATTTTATATTTTTACAGGTTGCCAGATGGTTTTCAGCTCATAGTCTATGTATTACAATTCTTCAAGTTAAAAAAGGAAAAGTAGGAATTATCCTTATTACCGAAATAATAAGTTTTATTACATAAGGCTAAGGGAGACCTTTTCAAAATGTTCATGGGAGCCACGGCTCCTCTTGTACGCACGCCTATGATGATGATGATCTATGGTTACAACTTTCTTCATTTTACGTTCACACTCGTTAATGAACATTTATGTCAGATCACATCATTCACTTTCTTCTATCTTGAACGTTATTGCAGCATGCAACTCGTAAATATTGTCAGAAGTCTGTGATGTTTGGTCAGACTATAATTCCATAATTACATTTAGATGCAACCCTGGCTATTGCACTCCATTATATTTTTAAACGGAATGAGAACTAACTCGCAAACATTCAAATAAGTACTTCAACAAACAACTGCCTAGTTAGTTTTCAATAAGTTTAAAAATGTATCGTTTTAGAATATCCAGAGTTTCATCTGAATGTGGTTTTTACCAAACACCATAGAAATGTTTGTCGGTTATAAGTTTGAGGTTTAAAAAATGTTCAGTTACGTTGTCCAAAACATGGGGATAGTAACGTCAAGTGTGTGAAGCAATAGTTACTTTTCTTCTGAGAACTTCGTAAATCCATTAAAGTCATTGAAGTTTTTGCTTATTGTTTTTATGTGCATGTCATTTGCTACTTCATATAAACGTCGGTTCATAGTATAAAAGTTTGTAGAAAGGTCGTAATAATAAACCATGACTTTAAAAAGACACTACAATCCGCCAGGAAAGTCACTCCGCACTAGCATCAAGCTGGTGAGAGTGCTTGCAGCATACATTATATTGGTAGCACTAGCTGTACAAAAGTGAACTTGTAACAAAAGAGAACATACACTGCGTACTCGCCACAATCATAACAGAAGCTGAAAGTGTTGTCCCTTTCCCTTGTTTCCCATCTGGTTGCTACCAACGCAAATACAGTTTTTAATAGGAGGCCCTGATGCGGCTCAGTAATGAGAGCCTTCCCTGGCGCACTCTGCTCTGTGCTTTGTATTGGTTTCCCCTCCGTTCGCGCCTCCCGCGTGTATCTGCGCACATTGTGAGGTTGAGCGCCGCTGAGGGCGAAAGATGGGGTTACACAGTAGCTCTCAGGTGGACGCTGAGTTCTTGCGTGGTCTATGTCAATAAAAGCTCTAAAGCCAAGACAAACTACCTACATATACCAAAAGGGAGGCACAGACTGTCTTGAATAATTACCTCCTTCTATAGAGGCATGAATAAAGCATTCTACATGATTGACCAATCATTTACTCCAACTACAAAGGTATGGTACGATTTAAAAGAGTTGTATTATCCCCAAATTGTCAATCAGTTGCTGCCTAATCGTGTAAATCCAGTAACAAAAACAATTATTTATTTTGATCCAATAATATAAAAGGTTTAAATATTTGAATTTTTTTTACATCCCAAAATCTTGATGCTTCTCCCAATTTTTTTACTTCCGGTAACATGTTTTTCCATCTTCTAATTCATTTATTCAATACGTTTCTTGCAAATTCACACATAACTAAATCATAAATCTTTCTCATGTTAATATAAGACAGAAAAACATTACCAAAACGACGGATACATACAGAAACGTAGTAAAACATTTATGTAGCGGAAAACGTGTTTATGTATGAACATATAGCACCTACCATTTTGATGTGTTAAATGTGACAAATAATCTTCACCTGATAAATGTGAAAAACAAGAGAAATTCAGCCACCATGTGCTTTGTGTGAAAGCAGCCACCCGTGAAACTATAAAGGTTGCCGAGTTTACCAGGAAATTCTAAAAAGGTCACAATAACTCAAAGAGCGAAGAGTATTTCAAAATCAAAAGGCGATACAGCCGCAAACCCATAACAATTCAACAATTAATCCTCCATTGCCAAGAAAACGAAATATTTCTCTAAAAAAATAAAATTGATATAATCTTGATCTCGGAAACTCACTTCACAGAGAAGAATTATTTTAAATTGCAAAACTTACACTGCATGACACAAAACATCCGGATTGCAAAGCGCACGGAGGTACGGCAATATTAATCAAACGCAATATAAAACACCATGAAGAATGTGCTTTTCAATGTAGAGATATTCAAGCAACTACAAAAGCAATAGAAGACTTTCAAGAACCACTCAGTAAGTGCTATATATTGTCCTCCGAGATTCAATATAGTTAAAGCACGATTTGAAATATTTTTCAATGTCATTGGAACTAGCTTTGTATGCGGAGGAGATCTAAATACCGAACACGTGCAGTGGGGATAAAGGCTCATTACTGCAAGAGGTCGCAAACTACAAAAAGGGGTAGCATCGTCGCCACTACTAACCATCTCTACAGGAGAACCAACTTACTTGCCAACTGATATAAACAAAATTGACATCTTTGTAACTAAAGGAATATTACCAGGTTACTTGATTCCTCCCATGAACTGTCATCAGATCACAAGTCCATTATAATAACTGTACGCAATAAATTTCTTTTGCTCCCAGCACCTATAGGTGTAAATAAACACGCAGATTGGAATATGTACCGGAACTGGATATCTATCTTTACAAGCATTGTAATATCTTGCGATCACAAGATGACATTGATAAAGCTACTGAGACTATAACTGAAAGTATACAAAAAGCAGCAAGGCACGACACTTCACGAAGAGATTATAATAAAACTTGTGATGAATATCCTTTCTCCATTCTGAAAAATATCAGGAAAAAAGAAAACTAAGAAACATGTCACAGAAAAAGATACTAAGCTGATAGAACCAACTACAATATAGCTACCAGACAACTATGAGGTCTACTTAAAACTTTCAACGATAGTATGTTTCAAAATTACGTTATCTATCTCTCTGCAACTCAAGCCTCCGAATAGTCTTTAATTTAAGCCGTAAGAAAATCCAAAATATCTGCTAAAGCTTCACCCCAAATTCGTAAGGACTCCAACAAATGGGCAAAACGTACAAAAGAAAAATAGAATTATTTGCAAAACACTTTACTGAAGTTTATCAAAACTATCCACAAAAAACTTTAAATCAATTGGTCGAAATAGAAGAATACTTAGAATCACCTACACAAATGGCATTACCAATAAAATATTTTATATACAAAGAAGTATTAAAAATTAAAAAAAAAAAATTACTACCAAGAAGGCTCTCATAATGACATCATCACCGGGTCATTACTAAAAACCTGCCGAACAAAGGAACATCATTTATCACTGATCTCTTCAACAGTATCCTACGTACCGGATATTATCCAGCGCAACGGAAAGTAGCACAGACCTAAGCCTTTTTAAAGCCAGATAAACCTATCCATTATCCCTCAGTGCATCGACCTATTCATATTCTTCCAAAGTGTTCGAAAAACTTCTCCTAAGCAGACTGCGACCTAGCCTGTCAACAAATCGCTTAATACGCGATCGCCAGTTTCGCTTCAGGCAACAACACTCTACTATTGAACAAGTTAATGAAATTGCCAACCATAGAGAAAACATTATAAAAACCTTATTATCCAATAGCGTTTTTAGACATCACTCAAGCATTCGATAAAATGCAGCACGATGGCCTTCTGTACAAAATCAAAAGATCCCTAAGTCATACATACCTCAATATCTTCTCACCAAACATTCCAAATCACTTATCAAAACGAATTATCCAATCCGGAGTATTCCAAGGTAATGTTATCAGCCTAGCTCTACACGTCAGATATGTGGAAAAAAGTGTGAAAAAAGTACAATAGATACATTTGCAGATGATACTGCTATATTAGTCACGGATGATGACCCAATTGAAGCGTTAAGAAAATTACAAGAGCATCTAGTGTTAATCGAAGAATGGGCAGACAAGTGGATAATAAAAATTAACAAAACCTAGTCAGCTCATATTACTTTAACTTTGGAAGATAAAACACAGAGAATTAAGAGTACTGACAGTCTTTGAAAGAATGAAAACAAGGAGCCCAAGCTACCTTCAACGCCTGGAAATCCACCCAACTCCTCTTGCCATCATAATAGTGAAGAAACCTAATTATTACCCAGAATTACACCCTAACAACTCCATTATATATTTTTAAATTAACCTCAACATTGTAATACATATTCTTCAACTTTGATTATTGAGTAAAATTACTAAATTGATTCTTTCTGTTCTAAACGCAAGAAGACGGTGAATGGGATATTTTCACCCACAAAATTGTCATTGTCATTATCAATTATTAATTTTAACATATTTACTAATTATTTTAATATAAAATAGATTGTAAATTTTCCTTGTTCAGGATTTTAAAAAAACTTAACACACATTGGAGTATATTCGGATTTTTTTAATTTTATTTTTTATTTTTAACATTAACTTTTTACTCTCTTTTCACTTTTCAAGTCAAAAGACACATGCACACAAATCGTAAATAAAAGTTGTTATATATATATATATATATATATATATATACATAGACATCAAAAAAACTAAATATATTTTTTCATACAGTAAAATTTCTCTTTTGGAGAAGTTTGTTCTTTTAAACGTCAAATGTCTTGCAAGCTTCATTAATCCACTTCGGTTTTAAAGGATTGTAATCCTTCATATAAATATTCTTTGTGATAATTGCATGGGTTCCGCGTGAGTGTCCTCTCCCAAAAACAAATGCCAGCATAGCCACGAATTGTCATGTTATGTTGTGAAGTCTAATATAGAAATAAAAGGAGTCGGAATGTGCGGCTTACCGAATCTTTTCGTCTTTTACTCAACTTTGATTGGGATATTTTCACCAAGAAATTGTCATTGTCATGATCAATTATTAATGTTAACATATTTACTATTTATGGTATTTATGCTACTTATACTAATGCTATTTACTCAACAAATACTCATATTTTTAAAACTGCTTGATATTATAAAAAAATCTAAACTTGAGAGGTAAATTGCATTGTAAAAGAATCTCTGGTTTCATTTTAAGAGATGCAGAACAGCTTCGGAAATAAATGTAAACTTTCGCAATTTTCAAAGTTCTAGAGATTTTAACGAAAACTATACCATAAGTACACATTTATCAATCGGATCAAAAGCAAGTTAAAAAAAATAAAGCTATTTTTCATAAAATTTTGAAAATGTCACAGGAGCTGCATTAAAATATTTAAATTGAAATCGTTGAAAGTAAAATTGCCTTAAATTATCCCAAACCTAAAATTATTTATTACATTACATTTATTTACTTTCTTAAATTATTTCGAAAATTAAAGTATCTTGATATTGTCCGGGACGGCACAGCTAGATTTTACATTTTATCTATTTACGTTTCCGTCCATTACCCCCTTTCTCCCTCCCCCTCTCTCTTTCTCTCTCCTCTGTTACGCATTCCTGCTCATCACCTGCCTCTCTCTCTCTTGTATATAACGGCGAAGTGCAGTTGCGCGAAATCATTACCCTCTTCTCTCTCTCTCTTCTGACTCTCACCATCGCAAAGATTTTCTCTCGTTTGTTTCTATAGTTGACCGCGAAGTGCAGCCAGTGTAATTATTACCCTATCTCTCACTCTCCCTCCCTCTCTCCTTTCCACTCTCTCCCTCTCTCTCCCACCCTCTCTCCCTCACTATCTCTCCCTCTCTTCCTCTCTCTCCCTCACTGCCTCTCTCTCCCTCTCTCCCTCTCTCCCCGTCTCTCCCTCTCCTTCTGTCTGTCTCCCTCTCCGGATTCTCACCTCCACTAACACCCTGCCACTCTCCTGTACATGACCACGAAGTGCAGCCACGTGAGATCATTAACCGCTCTCTGTCTTTCCCCGACTTCTCACCTGCGCCAACACCCTGCGACCCTCGCGTGCGTGAACGCAAGGCGCTGCGGCGCGCGCGGAATACGAACGGCAGCGGGGGCAGGCGCGTGCTCCGCGGTGCTGCGAGGGGCGGCGGCGGCGGCGGCGGCGGTCGCACGCCGACTGCGGAGCGGTACCAGCCCGCCGACGCGCTCCCGCGAGCGTCTTCAAATACGCCTGCACGCTTCGTTCGGGGTACTCCCGGGCCATCCAGCGACGCTTCACTGGTTAATCACCCGAAGCACCGCCGGGAGGCCGCGCAAAGGCGCTGCAGCAGGACCTCTATCTCGCCAGAGCTAGCGAGTCGACGCGATCCAAGCGCGGGAGTAGGGTGGGCGGGGCCCCCCGGCGGGCCCGTCGTGGCTGTAGCGCCAGGCCAGCAGCGCAAAGGGGGCAGCGACGGCGCGGCCTCCGCTCGCCCCAGATTCGCCCGCAGAGACTCCTCGCTTTCCGCTTTCGCTATCGGGTGTCGGGCGTGGTGTGTCAAGGTGGTAAGGGGAACCGGGACGCGCGGTCTTGAACCCTCGCGAGCGTCCGGCGGGCTGGTAACCGCTCGCATCCGGCGTTGCGACGCGCCGCCGCCGCCGCGCCGCCTCGCAGCAACCGGAGCAGGCGCCTGCCGCGCGCCGGGTTGCGTATGTCCGCGCGCCCGCGCCGCCCTTTGCGTTCAACGCACGCGAGTTCGCAGGGTGTTGGCGCAGGTGAGAAGTCGGGAAAGACAAGAGGCGGTTAATGACTCACGTGGCTGCACTTCGTGGTCATGTACAGGAGAGTGCAGGGTGTTAGTGGGGTGAGAATCGAGAGGGAGACAGACAGGAGAGAGAGAGGGGAGAGAGAGGGGGGAGAGAGATGAGCTTTTATTGCAGACTGGGCTATTGAAGGGCTGCGGAATTCTTGCGGTCGAAAGAGATGATTAGAGATGTGTACAAAGTAGAAAAGATGGGCGGTCAGTAGAGGAGAGTAAACTATTGGGACGCACTTCGGTGAACAGAGTCATGCTAATGAAAGGAACTAGGGCAGTAAAATGAATAATAATAATAATAATAATAATAATAATAATAATAATAATAAAGCCAGTGAAATTATGTAGATCAAGAGAGCCAAAACCTTGCCAAGACGAAGAATACTTCATTAATTTGATGGCTCATAATTCAGCTACATGATTGTGCGATTATTAGATTAACACTAAATACATGCATATGGTCCGGATGACTGAGATCGTTAAGGCAGTAGTGTCGTAGCGATCTCGGACCGAAGGATCACGGGTTCGAGTCCCGCCTCGGATATGGTTGTCTGAGTCCACCTCGTGTTCGGATCAAACTTTGTACTCCACGAAGTATACGCCTTTGCCTTTTGGCTCATGCCTTTTGGCTTTTGACTGCAACATATATTCTGAAGCCCAGAATACATTCAATCCGTTCTAAGGCTTCTTCTCCTTACTAAAGAGAACCGAATAGTTTGAAAACCATTAGCAAAACTGGGTTTTTCATTTATCCCATTTTGCAGTGACCGCCGATTTGGGTTCAAAATTCATCCCAAATCCTTGGCAACCCTACCAAAACTCAACATTTCTGAGTGGTATTTAAGACCCAATGGTTGAGGTGTTTTGAATAAGATAGCCTTTCGCAAACATATTCTTCGGCTTACTCCTGTCATCTTTCGCTATACGGTTTCGGCTTCAATTCGTCTCATCAGCTTGGGAGGTGTTGCGATCAGCAACATGACAGACCGCACACACAAGGACAGTAGTGGGGAGATTCTGGAAACCTTAGGATGTATTTGTATTCATCCTTTCACTCTCTCTCATCACCATATCATGTCATCTTCACAGTTACCGTACCTTAAGATTCAATAGTTATCGCTAATGCCCTATGCGACCTTAAAGAACCAGAAAAAACAACTAAGTTCACGCATTTTTACACACTTTTACGTACATGTTAATGTTCTTTTGTTGTATCGCAATTCTTTCTTTCTTATCGGTTACGTGCAGTTCGGGTCTACAGAGCTTTTATGTTCTTCATTTCGTCTGCCCATCTTCTTCGAGGCCTTCTTGCTGCCGTTTGCAGGTACTCGGATCCCATATCGCATCCTTACTAGATATCCCTCCCATTTTCACTTCAGTATTTGGGCACAGAGAAGTGGAATTACTCTCCACAAATGTAGTAATAGAATGTTCAAAAACAACGTCCAGGTTCTATTGTATTTATACACATAACCGAATAAAGAGTGATACAAAGTAACACGACAAAAAAAAACAACAGACGAATCCTCAATTTCTGTGCGTTGTCGGGTTGAAATAATTCATCTCTGCAAAACCCCGCACAAGATTTGCAGATTTGTTTTTGAGAAGATTCAAGAGAAAATTCAATAATTTGGCAAGAAACGCTTTTAATATTATTAATGGCTACCTGAATATTTTTACCGCACTCCAAAATCTCTACATCAGTTCTAAATTTGGTTTCGTTTGGTTATTTGGCCACTAACTACGCAGATTGGATCAAAAGTGGAGAACGCAATAAGAGGTGACAAGGAAACAATGGAAAACAAATTTCATGCAGGCAATCGGATAAAAATAATGTGATTCTTAACTACTGCACTTACGATGATTGAAAAAGTACTATAGTTTCAGAAAAAAGACTGTCTTCTTGAAAATCATGAAAAAAGATTCAAAAAATTAACATTTCATAATCCTTTTTATTATATAAATCAAATGGAAATTTTATGAAATATAACAGAATCTATCATATAAACTTTGCAAAAGTGTTCATTTTGAAAATAATGTTTTTGAAACGTATACTTTTGCCTTTTAGCTCGAAGAAGTTATAAAGTTTTCGACTTAGAGGACTCAGCTGGATGGCTAGAAATAGTGTAGTTTAAAGATAAAAAATTCTTAAACGATCCAAATTTCTTAAACATATCTAGCCGACATGTAATGAAAAACATTCGTTTGGCTACAAAATAAACTGCACCGTCTAGTAAGACAGATCTGCAAAACTACAGTTCTTGAGGTATTTAATAACTTTTCGTGTACGACATTTTAACATTAAACAGACAGGCAACACCAACAGACTTAGAAAGTAAACAAACTTGAAGTCGCGAATTATAATTAGAACACTCGTTAGACCAATTGTTTTTTTCTGATTTTCGTGGGAGATTGTTTGGACTACACTCCCAAATCATGTAGAAATTATTTTGTTTGAATTACGCTAAGTTTTTGTTGTGCGCTTTTAAGATTTTTGGCTAACAGGCTTAATATTAGGCTAATGTTGAAAGTGTTATATGCGCATCTCACACATAAAATTACTTAACATTTCCATACCAATAACTTATAGTATCGACTTTTTCTGTACGAAAGTTAAAATAATTAGAGAGTAAGTTATTAGCATATTATACGTTTTATATAACAAGGTATAACATTTCCATGAATGATAGTGACAACCAGAAAAACCGCAACCCTGTGTTTTTGATGTCCGCAAAGTTTAAAGTAACGTATAAAAAAACCAATAATTAACAGAAGATTCTGTGTCGATGATGATTTTCCACACTAACACTGTTTGGATAAGGTTTCTCTGATAGGTAGTTTTCTCTGATTTTACCGATGAATGCCAGGTAAATCCTGGAGCAGTGCCTGGAGCAGTGCGACAAATTTCTAGCCTCGCCCTTGTCAACTCCTCTTCGCCTTGTCAACTAGCCTCCCTTACAAACACACTTAAATGCACCCCACTACCACACATGTCGGGAGGCCTGTGGGGAGCTTAAGAGCTTTCCGCCAGGGGTGGGTGCTCCGCTAGGAAACAATGGACTAACTGAAAGGGGGAGACCTGCTGACTGACGTGGAGGTCGGTACCGGATCTCACGTTTGATCAGAGGGGAAAACTTCATATGTAGAGGTACAAAGAGCACTTCATGAACGAGATCAGACGAGTTTAGAATTAGTACACACTCTCTCTCCCTCTCTCTCTGTCTCTCTCTTTCTCTCTCTCTCTCTCTCTCTCTCTCTCTCTCTCTCTCTCACACACACACACACACGTACACAACGGTTAACGTAATTTTCTCATTTACATGATATTATTTCTAATTACGCTCACTTAACGATTGCCAGGTTGACTTTACTAGAAGAAAATCTCTCGAGCATTCTCGTGGCATCGTTTCATGACACTGTGCTCCGCAACTACGCGCCATCTCTACCACCCCACCCCCTCGAGTGAGAGAAGAATAGGACGGGGAACGAAACAAAATTCTGTTCCACTTTTCTTTGTAGTCTTCTTGATAATGGTTCGTGGAACCTCAAAAAGTTTTCTATCTTTTCTAGGAATTGACATTTAGATTCTGCACAGTTTGCTTTACACGAAAATGCTTTTCAATTTTTTAAGTAATTTTTCCTCATAGTTCACATTTGTGAGCTTTCTGAAATGTAAAGTGATGGATGACCTTAATTTCACAGTTAAAGTGGAGATTTAAATTACATTATTTCTCTTTCTTTGATTTCGAAAACCAACATAGAACCCCATAACTCATTTCACATTAAACTTGTGTACAAGTTTTCTAAAGGATGGTGTTAATTGTTTATTGATACAAGATCATACCTTATTTTTTTCCAAAGTATACTTCAAGTTGTTATTTAAATGAAATGTTTATCGAAAGTATTCATTCAATGATCAGGCAGATTTTATATTTAATTGACTTGGATAGGTTCCACGTTCTTAAATTCATTCTTCTTATAGGTATTATGAAGAACAGTTTCCGTGGCAAAAACATATCTTGCTCTATGTTGCATTGTTATGTTCCTGATGATGGATTACGTCTTGTTGCTAAAACCCTCCAATACATAATATACCTTTCTGGCATTTTTTATTATTACAAGTGCATATTGTAATAGGCATATATATGATAACTTCGTACTTTTGACATTGTAGCGGCACTTCCCATCTCGCTTGGCGTGATGTCACACGTGTTATATTAGAAAAATGCCTGAAGACAATTTCAAAGAATGCAAATGGAACTTTTTCTTCATAGTTTAATTATGATTTTTTACATTTATAATGATTTATAAACGTAATAAAGTTACATAAACATTTTACAACCTATTTGTTATTTAAATTAATACTACTGGGTCTGCAGCAGCAAAATTGCTACTTCAAACCGCACAAAATAGTTATTTCAAAATAACAAGAACACTGCTGAACAAAAATAAAAATAAATCTGACAAAAAATGCAACTAATAAATGTTTTTAAAAAGAACACTCTTCACGATTATTGCAATAACGCAGTGATACTTACGCTTATAATTATTGCAATAGTTCTTTACTAACCCAGATAATAAAATGTTGCTGTTCCAACCAATAGCAATTATATAATAGGCGTCGGTCTCTTCCTTGGAGCCTTGCTGTCATATTGTGTCATTAGCGACGCACTGAGTGCGAGCATTTTGTTGGTTAACGCAGTATCAGAATAAGAAAAAAATAAAAAATTTGAATTTTTCAATGAGTATTGAAACTCCTGGCATTGTGTCGAGTTCCTGGGTATCTACCGAATCCATATATAACTCTCACATCTGCA